CTTCGCGTTTTCATTAATTTCAGGATAACCAAGCATGCTAATTAGAACATCGAATACTTAAATTAAAGCTGAACGTCTTACCTTTGCAACAAGCCTAAATGCAGATTTCTGCTGTTATCTGTTCGTTTGTTATGAGCTGTCTAAAGTGTCACTGTTGAAAAGGAGCGTCTTCGCGTTTTTATTAATTTCAGGATAACCACGCATGCTAATTGGAATATTGAATACTTAAATTAAAACAGAACGTCTTACCTTTGCAACAAGCGTAAATGCAGATTTCTGCTGTTATCTGTTCGTTTGTTATGAGCTGTCTAAAGCGTCACTGTTGAAAAGGAGCGTCTTCGCGTTTTTATTAATTTCAGGATAACCACGCATGCTAATTAGAATATTGAATACTTAAATTAAAACAGAACGTCTTACCTTTGCAACAAGCCTAAATGCAGATTTCTGCTGTTATCCATTCGTTTGTTATGAGCTGTCTAATGTGTTATTGCTAAAAAAGACCGTCTTCGCGTTTTCATTAATTTCAGGATAACCACGCATGCTAATTAGAACATCGAATACTTAAATTAAAGCTGAACGTCTCACCTTTGCCACAAGCCTAAATGCAGCTTTCTGCTGTTATCCATTCGTTTCTTATGAGCTGTCTAAAGTGTTATTGCTTCACGTTTTCATTAATTTCAGGATAACAACGCATGATAATTACATTATTCAACAAGAATCGTAAACTGGAAACTTTAGCATTGTGCCTGAAATTTTGCTCGATTTTATTTTCTTGCAGGAATATACGAAGAAGGGATTCAGGAATCCGTCGAGCGTGGAGGCGGCGAGAAACTGCTGGGTCCTGTCGAAGTGTCTTGATGTGGGATTCAGATGCTTGGGTCCGTTCATGCCGCACCTTTCCCAGCATCTGCACTCGTTCCTGACCCATCCAATCGTACGTACCGGAGGATCCCGGTATTTCCCAGAGGTAATCACTCCACCCAAAAACCGCCGCATAAAATCATGAACTTTGCTTCGCATTTTCCGGCAGCCCTTCGACCGATACACGGACGAACTAGTCGAATCCAACGTGGAACAGATGCTGGAATGCGTGAAGAGTATACGGAGACTGATGAAACTTTTCGGCGTCTCAGCAAAACTCCAACCTAAAGGTAAGATTGTTGTTTTCATTATTAGATAATTGAATTAATCGATTACAAAAGCGAATTGTTAATGGTAAATTTTTTTCAATTCTCTTTCCTCTCAGTGCATTTGATCTCATCGACTGAAAAGCCCCTCGAGGATTTCCTCGACACCATCCAATGTTTGACCAATTGCCGCGTCAGCTTCGCGCAGGAAGTCGACTCCGATGGGGATTTCTTCGTTTCCGATACATTAACGAAAGCTCTCAGCGTGCGGCTGTTCGTGCCCGAAGAGGCTAAAAGGGCCTTAGAGGTGGACGCCGAGAAGAGCGTGAAGAAGCGCGAACGTCTGCTGAAGGACGTGGAGAAGCTGCAGAAGGTCATGAGCTCCGATCGTTACGCAAACGTCACCGAGCAGATCCACGGAAACAATCTGAAAAAAGTACATATTTATTAATTCATCAATACGGATTTTTACTTGTTTCGTTTAATCGTTTTACAGATGGAAACGTTGAAGGAGAAAATTGGAAGGATCGATTACATCCGTAGTTTCGTCAAGTGATCGTCGAAGTATTTTTTTTGTATCGTGTCTTTCCTTTTTTCCTTGTTCGAATCCTTCACTTGTGTACTTGTTCAGCGAGAAGAAAGAGTAATGAAAGAAGGCGATTGCAGTTTCGTTACGATCCAATGATTTTATTGTCCAGGAAATAAATCTCTTCGTCGATTTTTGCACTTGATGAATTGTAAAAGAAATAAAAAGTAAAGTAAAATGAAGCTACGACATTGTCAATTTTATTACAAATTTAATCCCAATTTCCCCAGTGATTTGCAAGAGACGCAATTATGAGTTTATTATAATTAAATTCTTTATAGTTTTCACATTAATTTTAATATTCAACTTTAAAAATATCGTTCATGGTTATTGAAATATCGAAGAAAATGTAAAATGTTTTCAAGCGATTAAGTTCATTTTTTGAGAGCGAATTTCAGGAAATCTAAAAGTGATACAATATTGCTTTTAGACTCATTTTATTCGCTATAGTTTCAGCTTTAATTAGAGTATTTATTATAAAAATTATTATCATTGGTTATCGAATTATAGAAGAAAATGTGAAACTTGAATATTTTACAGCGCATTAAAAAAAATCTTTACGAGATAAAATTGTAATCCTATAATTATATTCATTATAGTTTTAACATTAATTAAGACATTCTATATAAAAAATTTCATTCATGGTTGTTGAGATTTAGACGAAAACGTAAGTACTTTCCGCTAAATTTGTGTAATTTACAATCAATATTTTATTGATAGACAATTTCAGAAGATCTGCAAGAAACAATACATTCTACTAATACTCATTTTATTCCTTATAGTTTCAGCTTTAATTAGAGTATTTATTTTAAAAATTATTATCATTGGTTTTCGAATTATAGAAGAAAATGTGAAACTTGAATATTTTGCAGCGCATTATTTTTTAAATCTTAATGAGATAATATTGTTACCCTATAATAATTATATTCATTATAGTTTTAACATTAATTAAGACATTCTATATGAAAAATTTCCTTCATGGTTGTTGAGATTTAGACGAAAACGTAAGTACTTTCTGCTAAATTTGTGTAATTTACAATCAATATTTTATTGATAGACAATTTCAGAAGATCTGCTAGAAACACTACATTCTACTAATACTCATTTTATTCCTTATAGTTTCAGCTTTAATTAGAGTATTTATTATAAAAATTAATATCATTGGTTTTCGAATTATAGAAGAAAATGTGAAACTTGAATATTTTACAGCGCATTATTTTTTTTAATCTTTATGAGAAAAATTGTCATCCTACAATAATTATATTCACTATAGTTTTAACATTAATTAAGACATTCTATAAGAAAAATTTCCTTCATGGTTGTTGAGATTTAGACGAAAACGTAAGTACTTTCCGTTAAATTTGTGTAATTTACAATCAATATTTTATTGATAGTAAATTTCAGAAGATCTGCTAGAAACACTACATTCTACTAATACTCATTTTATTCCTTATAGTTTCAGCTTTAATTAGAGTATTTATTATAAAAATAATTATCATTGGTTATCGAATTATAGAAGAAAATGTGAAACTTGAATATTTTACAGCGCATTATTTTTTTTAATCTTTATGAGAAAAAATGTCATCCTACAATAATTATATTCACTATAGTTTTAACATTAATTAAGACATTCTATATGAAAAATTTCATTCATGGTTGTTGAGATTTAGACGAAAACGTAAGTACTTTCCGCTAAATTTGTGTAATTTACAATCAATATTTTATTGATAGACAATTTCAGAAGATCTGCAAGAAACACTACATTCTACTAATACTCATTTTATTCCTTATAGTTTTAGCTTCAATAAGCATGTTTAATATTAATAAGGACATTCGTCATTATCGAGTTATAGAAGAAAATGTGAAGACACGCTTAAAATTTCATGACTTCAAATTTGGAAACGAATTACAAAAAAAATCTTTGTCTTTATACTAATTTTTTCTTTATAGTTTTAGCTTTAATATTCTTTTTTAATATTAAAAATTGCATAAGTAATCGTCGAGTTATTGAAGACTTTGAACAAGTACGCACTCATTTTATTACTTCTAGTTTTAACTTTAATATAAATGTAAAATCTTAATCATGACATTCTTGATTATAGAGAAATAGACGATGATATGATCTTTGACTTTCCAACAAAGTTAGTAGATATTCGTTGTATGAGATGCATCTATTAGACAGAGTGCAAGATAATTAATCCGGTTGCAGACTAATGTTTAACAAATACACTGGATGCTCGTATCTATGTAGACGTAGCGTCGGTGGCGTCGGCTTCGGCGGCGACTTTGATATGGTTGCGGCTTGGGGCATGCGTTCACAGTTCGCGGCGTCGCGACGCTCCGTCAGTCAGCCGGTATCGCTTGCAGGAGGCGATCGCGACCTCCGAACCGTACGAAGCGACTCGACGTCGAAACGAAAAGAAGAAATACGACGACGACGACAACAACAACAACAGAAAAAGAAGGAAACAGAGCAGAGAACGAGTACAAGAATAACACGGACGAGAATCAGCGTCGATGCTGAATTCTTCGGGACACTTTTAGAACCATCTCCGGGGATTTCGAGAGAGGTGAGAGTTAAAAATATGCATTCTTTCACACTTTTCTGAAGCACTCGAAAACTTCACTTTCGTTTTAAACGAAACTTTCGATTGATTTCCAAGCGATAAAGTTTGAAAACAAACATCAACAATCGAATCAAAGCTGGCTTCGCTTTTGATTCGATTCGATAAATAAACAAAAGCTCGACGCGATATCGAACGTCGGTTAATGCGATTAATTGAAAGGTAAAAGTTTCGTACCTGGATGAACGTCGAGCGTATGGGTGAAAGGGCTTTTCTTCGCACAATGCAACCGAATCTGCCTGCATTCACAACTTTCCGCATAACTCAACCGGATGTCGAATTCCGTTCCCATTACGCTTTATTGATACGTCGGATTGTTCGGATTCCCACGTATACGAATAATCCATTATATATACACATATATATATATGTAGAACCGTATCACAGAATTCGCATAAGTCTATTGGATTAAACTGCAAAACATTCTTCAATTTATTAATATTAATTTTTCAGTATTCACAGTAAAAAGCTTAAAAATACTTTGAATTCAACAGATTTATACGTATACAATTTCTTAATAATGAATTTTAAGTACTTAGAGTAGAAAATATGAAAATGGTTTTCTTTTCCACAGATTCATATGTATCTTTCAGTTGAATTTCATATCATTAACTTTTCGGTGGTTCTGTTAATATTTACATTACAAAAATTGAAAATCCTCAGTTAACTTCTTAGTATTTATAGTACAAAACATGAAAATGTTTTTCTTTCCAACAGATTCATACGTATCTTTCACATCAATTTCTTAATACCAAATTTTCAGTATTTACAGTGCAAAACTTGAAAATGCTCTATTTTCAACAGATTCAAACGTATCTTTCAATTCTATTTCTTATTACTAAATTTTCAGTATTTACAGTGCAAAACTTGAAAATCCTCTGTTATCAATAGATTCATACGTATCTTTCACATCAATTTCTTAATACTAAATTTTCAGTTTTTGCAGTGCAAAACTTGAAAATGTTCTACTTTCAATAAATTCGTATCTTTCAATTCTATGTCTTAATTGTAACTTTTCAGAATCTACAGTAAAAACCTTGCAAATGTATTGTTTTCCACTTCATTTCAATTTCTTGAAAATACTCTGTTTTCAACAGATTCATACGTATCTTTCAATTTCTTATTACTAATTTTTCAGTATTTACAGTACAAAAAATGAAAATGCTTTTCTTTTCAATAGATTCATACGTATCTTTCACATCAATTTCGTAATACTAAATTTTCAGTATTTACAGTGCAAAACATGAAAATGGTTTTCTTTTCAACAGATTCTTTCGTATCTTTCAATTCTATTTCTTAATAGTCACTTTTTCAGAATCTACTGTAAAAATCTTGCAAATGTACTATTTTCCACTTCATTTAAATTTCTTGAAAATGCTCTGTTTTCAAAAGATTCGTATGTATCTTTCATATCAATTTCTTAATACTAAATTTATAGTATTTACAGTGCAAAACTTGAAAATGCTCTATTTTCAACAAATTGAATCGTATCTTTCAATTCCATTTCTTAATTGTAACTTTTCATAATCTACTGTAAAAACCTTGCAAATGTACTGTTTTCCACTTCATTTCAATTTCTTGAAAATACTATGTTTTCAACAGATTCATACGTATCTTTCACATCAATTTCTTAATACCAAATTTTCAGTATTTACAGTACAAAACATGAAAATGCTTTTCTTTTCAATAGATTCAAACGTATCTTTCAATTTTATATATTAATTGTAACTTTTCAGAATCTACTGTAAAAACCTTGCAAATGTACTGTTTTCTACTTCATTTCAATTACTTGAAAATACACTGTTTTCAACAGATTCATACTTATATTTCGATTCAATTTCTTAACACTAACTTTTCAGTATTTACAATACAAAACTTGAAGATGTTCTATTTTCTACTTCACTTCATTTTCAATGTTTGCACTGTAAATACTGAAAAGTAAATATTTCAGTATTCTTGAAAAATGATTTCTTTTCAACGTATTCATAAGTAACTCCAATTTCTTAATATTAAATTTTTACTGTACAAATCTTCATGTAAATCTTTCTCTATAATTTCTGTAAACTAATATTTCAGTACAATCATAATAAATTCAGATTCATACGTGTCTTTCACTACAATTTCTTAATATTATTTTCTTATAAATTTCGCATTGAAACTTGAAAATGATCAAACAACAACAACAAAAAAAGAAACAAAGATTATGAGCATCAACTACTTTTAATAACTTAATTACTTACTTTCGGCTTTCATTAAAGGATTCCGAGTTTAGAAAGTTTCCTTCAGAAAACTTATACGAAATATGAACGTGGAGCAGCGCTCACGTTTTCATATAAATTTTATATCAAAATGTAAATGTTATGAGTACAATATATAAAAAAAAACGTATTTTTATTTCTTTCACTTCATCGAAACATTCAGTTAATCCATAAAATTTTAAATAATTAATAATAATAAGCTTTGAATATTGAGAAATACATTTTTTCCAATTATAAAACAAAGTTTTTTTAAATTTTTTATTTCACGTCTTCAAAGTTTAATTAATTACTCGATAAATA